CAGGCGGGAGCCGCCCACCAGGCCCACGTTCTCCACATCCCTGGTGAAGATGGCTACTAGGGGGACGATGAGGCCCGCTGCCAAAGAGGAGGTGTTGCCACCAATCCTGGAAACCAAGCTGGAGCACCAGCCAGACCCATCCCAGGTACCATCCACAGCCTCCCTGGGGCCGTCTGCCCCCTCCCCGGCCCCGGTCTGCACAGCTCCTGTGGCAGGGGGGCTGAGCAGGAAAAAAACTCACTCAGTGCCCTGAAATAGGGGTCGTGAGCCCCTGCAGCACTCCCACTCTGCAAGGCTGCTGGGTTCAGCTCACCCCATGGGAGCCTTGGCTTTGCCCACACTGATCCCAAATTTCCTTGTAGTTGGAGCCTCAATCTCCAAGCCCCATGGAAATATCTGGATGTGCCCCATCAGAGGACGTGCTGTGCCAGGCTTTTTCTGATGTCTTGCTTGATGTGGGAGATGTAGATGAGAAAGATGGTAGCGATCCAAACCTCTGCAGCAACTACGTGAAGGACATCTACAAGTATCTGAGAGACCTTGAGGTTGGTAGGAATAGGTCAGAACTGCAGGGGCCATCTGCTAACACTTAGAGTGAACCTCTCATTATAGGTGTGGCTTGGGGCTGGTATTCACTCACTTTCACCTATAAGTGAGCACTAATAAGTGATCCCTCAACTTAAAATACAAGATTAAACTCAGCTGATAACATAAACAGACGCTGGTTGTTAGACCAATCAACTAGTGCTACTAGTATCGTGCTCTATTTCTAGCCCATTTCTAGTAAACAAAGAGACCTTGTGCCCTGGTGGCCCAGCCTACTGGCTATGCCTGTACTAAACTTCTTGATAAGCCTTAAGAAGCAACACAGGCTAGGCATTGCAAATGCTTCACCTAAGTGACTAGATGTATTAACCCTATTCCTTCCACACAGGAGAATCAACCAGTCAGACCCAAATATCTGGCTGGCCAGGAAATCAATGGGAACATGCGTGCCATACTAGTAGACTGGCTTGTGCAAGTACAGGTAAAATTCAGACTCCAGCAGGAGACCTTGTACATGGCAGTTGCTATCATGGATCGCTTTCTGCAGGTAAGTGTCTCTTGCCCAGTGTCAGGCAATGCTAAAGCATAATGAGCACTGATCAGTAACAACACGCATGGTTAGACATGTTACCCTTAACAAAATACAGTTGACCAGCAAAGGGCATCTGATGTCCAATTGTACGTACCACGTAACCCTCTTGGCTATGAACAGTGACTTGATATATATGAAAAGTGCTTATCTCCTCTCCCTGCTTTGATCTCAAAGCCTTCTAATGCCCCTGCAGATGTCAATAGGTAACAGATGATGTACAGTTATTCTGCAGATGCCAGTATGAACATCCTGAGGTAGCCAATGTAAGGCTTGTTTTACCTTGAAAAGCTGTGTTCTGAGGCAAGTCATTCAGATAAATCTCTACTGCTTATTACTACAGGACAACCCTGTTTCCAAGAAGATGTTGCAGCTAGTTGGTGTCACAGCTATGTTCATTGCCAGCAAATACGAAGAGGTATTTCCCCCGCTCATTGGAGACTTCACTTATGTAACTGATCACACTTACACAAAGCTCCAAATCTGCCAGATGGAGATGAAGATCCTGCAAGCCCTGGACTTTGGTCTGGGTTGCCCTCTCCCTCCACACTTCCTAAGAAGGGCGTCAAAGATTGCAGAGGTAATGCTGAAAACAAGTGTTACTTTAAGCAGCATCTGGAAAATGCAATACTTGACTGTGGCAGCTTGTTAAAATGGTACAAAACTTGTGAGTTTTTCAACAGTTTAGCAACTGAGCCTGTTTGAGGTCTGTCTCCTGTTTAGAAACAGGCCTTGTTTGTCTGCTTTAGTCACGTGTGCCTAGTCCACCCAAAACCACAGTTAAAATGCCTGCCTGGTACTGCACGCGACTGCTAGATTGCCATTGAAAGGAGTGGTCCAGGACTGAGCAGCCTAATGCAGCTCAGAACTGCTCTGTGATTAAGTCACTTGAATTTCAAGCCTACAGCTCTGAAAACGTTCGCTGAGGAAGTATTTCTTCCTGCTTGACTGAACAAAGGCTTGACAGAATGCTCTTGCCTTGGAGATAGCCAATACTCAACTCTGACTTGCTGCAGGTGGACTTTGAACAGCATAATCTGGCCAAGTACCTGATGGAGTTGTCCATTGTGGACTATGATATGGTTCACTTCCCTCCATCCAAGACTGCATCAGCTGCTTCCTGTTTGGCTCTGAAACTCCTCAATGGAAGCGAGTGGGTAAGTCATGCTGTCAGACCATCTCCTAGTTTGGGACTCTGTCTGCTTGTGCACCAGCTTAAAAGGCCATTCTAGGCCAAGTGTCTATGCTTTCCACTTCCCTCATGGTATCTCAGCATCTTCTTGTCTCCCCGTGGCCCATTATAAGGGGACAGAAGTAGGGCAGTAACTGTTAACCCTCCCCTGTGAGACAAGAGACCACAATTGCCCAAACCCAACAGAAGACAAAGAACTCAGCATACTCAGATTGTTCTAGTAGGTTTGTCTAATGACTTCCCTTCCTTTCAGACACCAACTCTGCAACACTACATGGCTTATACCGAGAGTGATCTTCTCCCAGTTATGCAGCACATAGCAAAGAACCTAATTCTTGTGAATGAGGGCATTACCATGCATAAAGTAAGAATCTCGCGGTGCAGGCGGGGAGTGTATGTGGTTAAGTATCAATACGTGGTGCTCTGAAGCTGGCTTAGCCAATGCTGTCAGACTTGGATCAGACCTGCTTATTTCAGCAGAAGATTTCTACCTTGCCAAAGTGGCGTGAGCCAGCCATGAACCGGTCCTGTGTGCTAGGAGGGGCTTGGCTTGAGTGCCAAGCCTTAGATGAGCTGGAGTAGTGGAGGTTTATGAACACGGTAAACTTAAGCAAACTTCTCTTTCTGCAGGCAATCAAGAACAAATATGCCAGCAGCAAAAATGCCAGGATAAGTACCATTGAACAGCTGGATTCATCTCTTATATGGAATCTGGCCCACCCTCTGATTAAAAAGTAGTAACTGCTCTGTGAACTTATACTAAATGTTAGCACTGTGTATATACTGTCTCCTGTATGTATGTTTTATGCCTTTTAATAAACTAGCATTGTCTTTTACTTGTATTCCTCGTGTGCGTGCAGTTGACTTCCTCCCAGAGCTGAGGCCTCCCTGCGGAGGCAGGCGAGAGGCGCCAGCCCAGGCCGGGCTCCCGGCCCTCCGGGGAGCTCCACAGGCAGCAGTGCTGGCGTGGCGGCACCTCGCTCGGGTTGGAGTGCGGCTCTATTAATTTAGTATTTATTTACTGTCGTAAATTT